CCCCCCCCAAACCCCCCAGAGACCTAGAAATTATTAGATGTTGGACCCCCTGGCAGCTTTCCTTGGTACTGCAACAGAACATCCGGTTTTGAGATGATCTGGACATGCTAAGGGTCACGATCTAAGCTCTTGTGTTTGGGAAGAAGTGACATTAGTCCAGTTTTAATTCGAAAAGCGTACTATTGTTACGTACTATGAGTTGCGTGTATTCTGATTTTGTTCAGGTGAAGTCGGAGGTTCAGACGGTGACGTCACTGCTGCGGTTCCTGGAGCACGTGATGCGGATCCAGTACCGCGTCATCATCGTGGTGGACGACCTTGACTGTTGCCCGGGCGACCGCGTGATTGGCGTGCTGGAGTCCATGAGCATCCTGCTGTCGGATGAAGAGACCAACATCATCTCCATCGTCGCCATGGACCCGAAAATCGTCGTCAACTGTCTGGAAAGTCGTCTCACGGACACCATCACAAACAACTCCAGCGGGTAAGTTCGTGTTGTTCACGTGCTGTTCACCTGTTGATCACGTGTTCTTCACGTGTTGTTCACGTGCTATTCACATACTGTTCACGTGTTGTGCACGTGTTGTTCACGTGTTGTGCATGTGCTGTTCACGTGCTGTTCATGTATTGTTAGGTACGAGTACCTGCATAGGATCGTGCACTCCCCGGTTTTGTGTTGGCCACGTGAGGTTCACGTGATGTTCACGTGTTGTTCACGTGTTGTCCACGTGTTGTCCACGTGTTGTTCACGTGTTGTCCACGTGTTGTTCACGTGTTGTCCACGTGCTGTTCACGTGCTGTTCACGTGTTGTTCACGTGCTATCCACGTGCTGTTCACGTGTTATCCACGTGCTGTTCCCGTGTTGTTAGGTACGAGTACCTGCGGAGGATCGTGCACTTCCCCGTGTGCCTGCCGGAGCCGAGCGTGGAGGAACGGCGGAAGCTGTTCTACAAGATTGTGGAGGGAAGGACGGCATCCTGGTGCGGCGGTACGTCTCCGTCAAGACGGGAAGGATCTCATTCAAGGCGGGCACCAAGGCGAAACAGGTCTCTACCAGACTAACTACGCTGGCTATATATAGGACCCCCCATATAGGAGAATATTTGCCAGGGGAGTTTGGCCGCCTTGTAGATTTGACTGGCGGGAAAGAAACTACCTCGGACTCCCCTGGCCAATTTTACTCTTTTTTGCCGAATTCTACGATCTGTATTCCCGTAGAAATGCCTGGTGGAGGCAAGTGTGTAACACTGTGAGTGTAACAGTGGGGTTCAAGCGCCGCTAACTGCGCCATTCCAATAGGAATCCTTTTGGCGTAGTTGTAATCAATCAATCAATCAATCAATCAATCAATCAATCAATCAATCTTTATTCAACTGGCAGACGAGGGTCTGAATTGAGTTGTTCTTACAGACAGCATCATAAAATTATCCATTTAAACTATATATATACATTGTGATGGTTTAAAAATTACATATAACACGATTATAACACACACCAATTAAAAGCTTCCTGTTTCTACTCGCTCTGTTTGTTTCAGGCGTACCAGGCGGACTCCCAAGGACGCACCTCCGCCAAGGGCAGACCGTCCTTGTGGACAGCCCTTCCGGATGCGCAATATGATGACCTTGAAAACCAAGATGGCGGCCGCCAGGACATTTCGAACCAAGATGGCGGCGCCCAGGACGAAACTGACGAAGCAGAGGAAACATTGAGGAGAGCGGTACGAACACAAGTCAGCACATACGGACTCCTGAATAACTTCAGGCTAGACGACGTGAAAGAAGAGTATGAAGACTATCTAGGTGACTAATTTGCATCATCCTATCATGAAAGTTCATCTGTGTTGGTAGTTACATGTTTAAAGTTTAAACTTTTGGTCCAACACAAAAATTCTCGCAGCTAGAGCTTTCTACCAGTCACTCTTATCTTCCTCAGTAGACTGACCCAGTGAAGCTTGTCACGTGGCTTCTTTGAAGTGTCACTTATTTGCATCATATCAATCAATAGTTCGTATTTAAATATAAACCTGCTTTTCTGATAACTCTCCAGTGTCACTGACGAAGTTTCGTGAAACGTCTGACTGTTTCCAAAATCATATCCAGTTGACGTTGCTTGAGTAACTGTTTCGTTTGGCGTATCTAGGTGACGTCATACAGGCGTTAGATGACGACGACGATGACGCAGAGAATGACATCATGCCTTATATCCATGGCAACGCGCTCCACATCACCAGCCTCTACCACGTACTGCGCATGACCGTGAAGGTTCTGTTTATTGTTTGTTTGTTTGTTTGTTTATTTAGGAAGCTCCATTAGTGATGATACATCACTATTCTTCCTGGAGTCCTTTACATAAAATACATTAACTATTGTTTACATACACGTTTAACTGCTATCAAGAAAACTTATCTTATCAACATAGTAAATTACACATTAAGCAACAATTGATAATAAATTACACATTAAGCATTGATTAGTACAGCAATTAATAATATCACATTATACAGTTAACAAAAAAACAACTATGTACTAAAGGTCTAAGGGTTCAGAGGTCATGAATTTGTACAGAATATATTTAAAACGTTTACCACCAGGAGTTAATTGGTCACAGTGTGTTTGTTTTTATGTGTTTTTGTCCAATTGCAATATTTTCTTCTCCAAAGGTTCTCAGGCACAGGCAGCTGCTGCAATGCGTGACGCCTCGCCAGGTGGCGCTGTGGGTGGTTCTGGTGGAGCAGTGGCCCTACCGGACCAGCTGGGTACTGCAGTACGTCGAGGACTGCCAGCAGAAGGACAGAATAAAGCAGCGAAACCCTCAAGAGACGGGAAAGGATGAGATAAACACAATAAACAAGTGAGTAATATTTTACACGCCAGACCAGGGGTGCCAGAGTATGCAGCGCAATTTTCCGGAATACAGCACAATTTTCCAGAATACAGTGCAATTTTACGGAATACAGCGCAATTTTACGGAATACAGCGCAATTTTACGGAATACAGCGCAATTTTACGGAATACAGCGCAATTTTGCGGAATTCAGCGCAATTTTGCGGAATACAGCACAATTTTGAGGAATACAGCGCAATTTTACGGAATACAGTGCAATCGTATTAGTACACAGTGCATTGTATACTAGTAAAATATTGTACTGTATACTAATATATTTCATCGCAAGCTTTCTTTCTTTCATTTCTATTTCTTTCCTCTACGTTTTCCCTGAAACGTAGTTAAAGGTTTTAACTTTCTTTTTTTCTTCTCTTTTCTTTCTGCAGTGACACGAAGCTGGCTGACGTGTTCCAGAAGCTGAAACCGGAAATGAACGTGGACGATTTCCGGCGTCTGAATAACCTTGACGGTGACCCCGAGATGTTCGAACTGCTGCTGGGCGAGTCCAAGTTCACCGTGAAGGTATTCTGCAGTTCTCATAAATGTCGCATGGGGCACTATTGTATGGTTGTTGAGGCGTTTCTGTGTTTCATCTCAACGATAGTTGAAATAACTGGTATCCACTCTGTTTTGTAGCTGTTTGGAGGGGTTCAGAGGAACATTAGTTTTGAGAGAGACAGACACAGAGAGACAGAGACAGATGGACACAGACAGATACAGAGAAAGACAAAGAGAGACAGATATATATATATATATATGTGTGTGTGTGTGTGTGTGTGTGTGTGTAGAGAAAGAAAGCAAGGAGGTTCAAAAGGAACTCTTTTAACTCCATGAAGAAAAATTCCATTTTGTCCGTTTCACTTCAGGACATGTCTAACCTGCTCCCCTGCACCATCAACTTGGACTATTCCATCCAGCGCCGGATCGCCACAATCAGAGGCCTCTCCCTGGAGTACTGATAGGATCCGCTAGGGGTCTCCCTTACAGCGTGTTCTTCAATGAAAGTTGGCAGGCGTAATATAGACACTTTAAGAAATAATAGATACTTTGAGAAATTCTACTTAACGTATTTACAAACGGTTCTTAAATGTAGATAAATGGTGCTTTAGCTTGTCATGTCCTCTCATTGGAGTACTGATAGGATCCGCTAGGGGTCTCCCATACAGCGTGTTCTTCAATGAAACTTGGCAGGCGTAATAGACATTTTAAGAAATAATAGATACTTTGAGAAATTCTACTTAACGTATTTACAAACGGTAGTTAAATGTAGATAAATGGTGCATTAGCCTGCCATGCACAATGAACATCATAGATGTAGTGAAGATTGCCTCCGCAAGGGGTCTCTTCTAGGAAGAACGTCAGTAGCGTAGTGAAGTTCTTCAATGAGAAAATGACGGATGTTTATATATTTACAAAGAGTTACATTTGTGCCATTTTAGTTTATTAAGATGTCCTTTAGCCCAATGAGGGGCTGATCTTCCAGGGCTCATTAGACAATACAATAGTTAAAACAGATATACACAAAAGCACATACAATTACAAACTAAGAATTGACCTCAAATAAAATCTTAAATACAAGCTGACGAAGAAAAGGACAACAGTCACAACTCTGTTCTAAACTTTATTGAGAGACTAAATATTATTTCCATTTCTCGTCTGACTTTAAACATCAAAAAGTACCTTTGTACAAGCCTAAAGTTTAGAGAGCAAATTTTAAGTCATAGAAAACACGATCACTTCTCCAGTTTTCTATCAAGTCCAAGATTTCAGCATTAATTTTTTTTTTACATTATTACCACACCGGCAGTATTATAAACTCTTCTGCCCTTCTGAAAACCCTTGTCCTGCGGAGCCCAACAATTGTTGTTCTGCACATACAGACTGAGTATATAACACCCTGTATAGGTACGATCTGGGGGTATTTCTCATGCAACGCATCACACCACAGCGAAACGCAACGAATGCGGAGGCAACTAGTATGCTACCACAGGGCAAAAAAAGTCAGGGGTCTATGACCTGATTAAGACAATTGAAATTATTGAAAAATTTTGTGTAAAAAATGCCAGCAGGACAAGGGTTAAGAGCCCTACTCCCTGCCAATAGAGCTTGAGATCACCATATTGAGTTAAACTTTCCATTCATGAAACCTCCAACACTTTACACATTTCTTGTCCCTTTTATTATTCAGCCATGGTTCATTCTTGAGGAACATTGATACAATGTTTTTGACCCTTTCATGTAAGTTGGGCTGACCTTGTCTCTTTCCGCTCTCGAACTTGAACTGTTGGAATGTCGCAACTTAACACAAAAATAGGAGACAACACGGCTTTCTATTAGAAACAAGAATATAGGATTCTACATTCAAGAATATGTTGGACATAGTAACCCTTTGTTTGGTGGGACATGTGCATAACAGCAAAAGAAATCAATAAGCCATTGCTACTTCTTTATAAGGACACTCGGACAGGCCACTCCTTCAAGGTCATTCTTACAAGGTCACGATACAAAAATCCTGCAAGGTCATCTTTACAAGTTTATCATACAAAGAAATTCTGCAAGGTCATCCCTACATGTACAAGGTCATTCTTACAAGGTCATCATACAAAATCATCCTGCAAGTCCATCTTTACAACGTCACTCTTACTAATACAAGGTCATTCTTACAAGGTCATCCCTACAAGGTCATTGCTGCAGATGGATCCAAGGTCAATCCTACAAAGTTACTTTTACAAGGTCATCTCACTATAAAAGTACAGACTGACCTTGAGAACATGGCTGCTTCCTAGTAGCATTTGAGACAACCGAGTGAGATATGATACAGAATTACAGCCAAAAACAAAAAGAATTGCACTATTATTTCACCACTTAGGCAGTTTGTTCAGCATATCATAATAATCATTAACATAAACAACCCTCATTTAGTAAAGCCCTATTACCTTAAACCAGTAGTTTTCTTCTAAACCTAAAAACTGATTTGATAGAAAAACGACTATCTGACATTTAATTTCAGATATTCTGGCACTGAAGTGGAGGGAATGAAAATTAACCCCTCCCTGCTAAGTTCTACAACCGACACAAACATGGTGCATACGTCCGACCACAGTAGGGTGAAGGTTAACCGAAACACACCTGTTACAAGAGTAGACTATTCCATTATTGCATTCTTTAACCTCCTTCTGCTAAGGTCGCCTTTTGGCACCAGTTTTGTATGGATGAGGAATTGGGCAGCAGGGAGAAGGTTAACTAGAAATTTTACTCTGTTGCATGTTGCATATTGCATCTAGGTGTTTGGGCTAGATTTACATGTAATCCTTCTGTATGTTGGTGTGAGACTCATCAGTAACGTTGGTGTGAGACTCATCAGTAACGTTGGTGTGAGACTCATCAGTAACATTGGTGTGAGACTCTGTAACGTTGGTGTGAGACCTAGTTGTCCTCGTCATCCTCGACCTTGATGTGAACCCTGTGCCAGGCGTTGGCCACGACTCCCCGCAGGTTCCAGTAAGGTTTGAACGACTCGGGCTGCGTGTTGTACGCCGAGTCCACAGCCTTCGCACACAGCTCAACCTCCTTTCCTGGAACACAACAAAACACCAAATAAGGAGATGGTTACCAAATAAGGAGATGGTTACCAAATAAGGACTAGCGCACCTTTAGAGTCCTTTGGCAGCGGCACGTCGGCCTCCCACAGTGTCCAGGCCCAGGTGCGGTTGTAGCCCTGGTTCGGTTTGTTACCAAATAAGGACATGCTTACCAAATAAGGAGGTGGTTACCAAATAAGGAGATGGTTACCAAATAAGGACTAGCGCACCTTTAGAGTCCTTCGGCAGCGGCACGACGGCCTCCCAGAGCGTCCAGGCCCAGGTGCGGTTGTAGCCCTGGTTCGGTTTGTTACCAAATAAGGACATGGTTACCAAATAAGGAGGTGGTTACCAAGTAAGGGAATAGTTACCAAATAAGGACTAGCGCACCTTTAGAGTCCTTCGGCAGCGGCACGTCGGCCTCCCAGAGCGTCCAGGCCCAGGTGCGGTTGTAGCCCTGGTTCGGTTTTGCCACCAGCTCCGTCGGGTGCCAGGTCTTCCCGCCGTCCGCGGACACGTCCACCCGGATAATCTCCCGACCCCCGCCGCTGTAGGCGTAGCCCCTCACGGTTACCTAGCAACGGCAGAACAACAACAGTCAGCCTAGCAACCAGTAAACAAAAACCACAAACTGCTAACAGCACAGCCATGCACCATCAGTGCAGCAAAAAGTTTCCCACTACTAAATTTTCTAAACACTTCAGACCCCAAACACTTTCCAAACAGTCCCAAACTAAGGACTCAAAAACACCCCCCCCCCAATGAAATGGCACAGTCCATATCCCACTGAATCTGCCCCTGACCCAGACCGTTCCATTATTCCCACAGGGGTGTTCTCACCTCCTCCTCGTTGTCCCAGACGGCCCCATCCTTGGGTTCACAAATGGCCGACTGGACCGGGTACTCCTGAATCGCTGGAGACTTTTTGAAGTCGACCGTGTCCCAGTCCACCTGTGGGGCAAAACAAACATGGGGGTCTGCATGGGGGGGTCCCGACAACGCTCTACGCTAAATTTTGAGAGCTGGCTACGTATTACGCTGAATTCAGGAAACTTCCCAATTACGCTTTACGCTAAATTCAAAGATGCATTACATGGAATTAAATACGCTCTATGCAAAATGCGCTAATCACGCTCTACATTGAATTAGAGTGGTCCGTCTATGCTCTAGAATTATGATGCTCTACAGAAAAGGGTATGTGTGAGACTCATCAGTGATGTTGAAGTTTACCTGCGGCGCGAAACCCTTGTAGTCGTTCTGCTGCCAGTGTGATGGGCTCTCGTCTGGGCTGACCCACACCTTACTCAGCCACTTCACCTGCCTACACAAACAAACAAACAAACAAACAAACATGATTCATTCATATTATACATGTGGCTTGCCTGACATAACCATTTAAGGAAATGGCTACCAAATAAGGTAATGGTAACCAAATATGGAAATGGTTACCAAATAAGGAAATGATAGCCAAATAAGGAAATTGTCACCAAATAACGACATTGTTACCATATAAGGATTTGTACCTGGCACCTATGATCCCAGGGGGTGGGAAGCTGTGATTGTGTGACAGCGGGCTCCCCATAACCAAATAAGGAAGTAGTTACCAAATAAGGGCATGGTTACCAAATAAGGAGTTGTACCTTGCGCCTATGATCCCAGGTGCGATGACCCTGAGGGGAAACCCATGATCCCAGGACAGCGGTTCCCCGTTCATGTCCCAGGCCAGCAGCACGTCTTTCGTTCCCAATTACCAAATAAGGGCATGGTTACCAAATAAGGAGTTGTACCTTGCGCCTATGATCCCAGGTGCGATGACCCTCAGGGGAAACCCATGATCCCATGACAGAGGTTCCCCATAGGGAAATAAGGAAACTATTACCAAATAAGGGCATGGTTACCAAATAAGGAGTTGTACCTTGCGCCTATGATCCCAGGTGCGATGACCCTCAGGGGAAACCCGTGATCGCGTGAAAGCGGTTCCCCGTTCATGTCCCAGGCCAGAAGCACGTCTCCGGACGGGTCCAGCGCCTTCTCGATCGGGATGGACCCCCCATAGGGAGCCTTCTCAGGGTCCAGGTCCAGACCCTCAAACTAAAGGAATTGGTGAAAGGTTTTCGCATCAAAACACTTCCTAGCATTGAGCTAGAGATATAAACAAAACTAATACCACGTATGTTGTAGAATGTAGTATGACAGCCAGAACAAAAAGACTTCAGAACTCTTTCCTTCAGAAATCAGTCCATCAGACTATGTAATCAGACTGTATAATCAGAATGGTATACTTGTGTGTGTCTGGGATGTATAGTTCTATATTAGACGATGTATACTAGTATATATGTTAATTTTGATATTGTAAATATCAATGTCATTCGGGCAACATTATATGTATACAATGTCATGCATCTGCAATATTGATACATGTATACTATATCTAATTATAAATAAAGATCAGAATTGAATGGAATAGCACCTGCACGTGCTTGAGTTCTCCGCGTTTCTCCGGGTCGGCGAGCCCGAGGTGAGCGAGGATGTCGCTCAGGAACACGCCCGTCCACTCCGCGTTACTGATCGCTGCGATTCCCCAACTCAGGCCTTTGATCTTCTTCACCTGAACACAATATACAACAAAAAATCTTCACCTGAACACAACATACAACAAAAAATCTTCACCTGAACACAACATACAACAAAAAATCTTCACCTGAACACAATATACAACAAAAAATCTTCACCTGAACACAACATACAACAAAAAATCTTCACCTGAACACAACATACAACAAAAGGTGTAAGTAGAAATCAGTCAGTTGCAGGTATCAGGTTTTGAAGTAGAAAAAGGTACCAAAAAAACGCACAGTGTTTACCTTCACATGAAGTAGTCTCTGTTATGTTGCTCTGTTTATCATGAAAGTTCATCTGTGTTTACAGTTGAAACTTTCAAGATCCAAGATTCCAACACAAAAAGTTCTCTCGCCTAGAGCTTTCAACCAGTCTTACTGGGAAAGACCAGAGTGACTGCCAGTGGTCGAAAGCTCTAGATGAGAGAACTTCTTTGTGTTGGATCTAAAGTTTTAACTGTAAACAAATCCATCATTCTGTTGCTTTCAGGAAAAATAGCAAAGTAAATGAAAATGAATAAGGCAGTGGATGTCTTAACAAACAAACAAGCAAACAAACAATAAAAAAAAACAGGTCACCTCCATCATGTTGGAGCGACGGTTGCCGGCACACTGGATTGTGGCGACCATCTTCCGATGTTTGAACTTCTCCTTAAGTTCGTCTAAGGTGAAGGAGTGTTTCTTAAGACCCTCTCCTCCCACAGTCAGCACGTAGTTCTTCATATCCACCTGCAATGAATGAATGAATGAATGAATCCTTTCTTTATTCTAGAATGCTTGTTTGGACAGTCACTTTTGGACAGGGGAGGGCATCAATCAATCAATCAGTCAGTCAGTCAGTCAGTCAGTCAGTCAGTCAGTCATCAGTCAGTCAGTCAGTCAGTCAGTCAGTCATCAGTCAGTCAGTCAGTCAGTGAGTCAGTGAGTCGGTCGGTCGGTCGGTCGGTCGGTCGGTCGGCCAGTCAGTCAGCCAGTCAGTCAGTCAGTCAGTCAGTCAGTCAGTCAGTCAGTCAGTCGGTCGGTCGGTCGGTCGGTCGGTCGGTCGGTCAGTCAGTCAGTCAGTCAGTCAGTCAGTCAGTCAGTCAGTGAGTCGGTCAGCCAGTCAGTCAGTCAGTGAGTCGGTCGGTCGGTCGGTCAGTGAGTCAGCCAGTCAGTCAGTCAGTCAGTCAGTCAGTCAGTCAGTCAGTCAGCCAGTCAGTCAGTCAGTCAGTCAGTCAGTCAGTCAGTCAGCCAGTCAGCCAGTCAGTCAGTTGTCAGTCAGTCAGTCAGCCAGTCAATGGTTTTTAATACGTATTTGTAAATATGAAACATAAACACATTGAAACTTTTTGAGACAGGAAAGGACTCATAGTATTTCCCACCTGAGGTACCGGCAGGTGGTTCCTAACGAAGAACAGCTCGTTAGGGGTGATGTAATTATCCACAAGCAGCTCAGCGGGCGGCTCTGCGTTGAATGGTTTGCTGGAGCTCGGCGCGAGCGCCGGATGGCGGCCGGGCTCCGACGCAAACGGGTCGTTAGGGTCCGACTTCTTCGTCCGCTGCATCTCTATCAGGTCTGGGAAGGAAGGAATGAGTGAGTGAATGAATGAATGAATTAATGAATGAGTGAATGAGTGATTTATTATGGTCATTATACACAGACATGAGAGACACAGACAGAAACAGGCAAACGGGTCGCTCGGATCGGATTTCTTGGTTAACCACATCTCTATCAGGTCTGGGAAGGAAGGAAAGAATGAATAAATGAAGGGTTTGCTGGAGCTGGGGGTGAGCGCCGGATGGCGGCCGGGCTCCGACGCAAACGGGTCGATAGGGTCCGACTTCTTACTCCGCTGCATCTCTATCAACTCTGGGAAGGAACGAGTGAATGGTGTTGGGTTACATTATGTGGCAAGTTGCAGGACAGAGTTGAGGGGCTGGTTCCCATGTACTGTAATTAACTCTATGTTCACAGTAGCAAAAGTTCCCGGTCTGAGAAAAATGGACATGTTCACGGAACTATATATTCACGGTGGCGACAGGTGCAGGAAAAAGAATGTCCAGGAATTAATTATTAACTGTAATGATAAGTTCACGGTACAGAAGTGACAGTGAAAATAGTAAACATAACTGTACAGTGAACAAATCAGGAATTACAGTATTTTGTGTATGAATGTGTTTGAGTAGGAATAATAAAATTTCATAAGGAGTGCAGTAGTTTGTTAGGCTATACAAATACAATGTGAAGGTAAACATTATGCATCTGCTTTGCAAATGTTACCTGTCTAGTTATAACATAACTACCTTTCCTGCTGATATTTCCGATGCGCAGCGGCTCGAGCAGCTCGAACACCTCGGGGTTGTCCTTGTGCACGGCGTACATGGCCCAGAACGGTTCAACCGCGCCGCCCGCCGCCAGCAGGATCTTAGACGAACCGCCTGGGTGGCTCTCCACGAACTCTGTGATGTCATACACGCCGGATTTGTAGGTGATCCAGATGCGGTCTGCCTTCGTTTTGTGCCTGAAGTAGGAATACACATAATCTCTTTTTTTTCCCAGTACATTGAGAGTACTAGCTAGAGACACTTCCAGCATCACACAAGCACAAGGCACTTAAAAACGTTAAAAACTTAAATACCTTTATTATAGAGACAATCTGACTCTGAACTGAACCAAGCGCAAACCAGTACCAAGAGACCACGTCTAGCAATATATTAGGACATTAGATGTTAAACAAAGACAACAACAACAACTGTACATTGTACAAAGAGTGATGCCTCTTCTTTTTGTTTTGTTGAATGTATGATAGATCATTTAGATTACATTTTGTAATTGTAAGTGTACAATGGGTCTACAGACCATTGAATTGTCAGAACAACATAACTCAGATTAAGAATACTAGTATTGCCTGTGACTTGTTTGAATAAACTTAAGATTGAATGGAATTGTACCTGGAAACTTCCTGGAGGGAGAACTCCGGTAGGTTTGTACGGAAGCCGCCTGGAGTTGGGTCATGCTCGAACGTTGGTGCGGATTTTGCGCCGACGGGATTTTTGCGCCGGGTCAGGTAGAGGGCGGCCCCCGCGGTTAGTCCGCAGGCGACGCCGACCGCCGTAGCGGGCCAGATGTACGCACGGCCGCTCTGATTGGTGGAGAAACGCCGGGCATTCTGCTGCAGAACGGTCCACTTCTGGGAGAGGGGGGTTCTTCCAGCCGACCTGCAAAGGGACATTTCAAATAAGATTTCCTGTTGGACATATTTCCTTATGAATTATTTAGTAACTTTTTTCCTTATTTGGTAACTATTTTCTTATTTGGTAACTATTGCCTTATTTGGTTACCATTTCCTTATTTGGTTACTGTTCCACACACTATAGCTATGTCTGCTACTAGACGGTCTACTTTTGGGAGGGGGGGTCTAGCTGACTTGCAATTGGCACATTTTGAATAAAACTAGTTCCAAAAATCTGGCTGGACCAATTTCCAGTAACTATTTCCTTATTTGGTAACTATTTCCTTATTTGGTAACTATTTCCTTATTTGGTTACTATGACCACACACTACTAACTTATGTTTGCTACAAGACAGTCCACATCTTGGAAAGGAGGGGGGGGTCACTATAGTTGAGTGACTGACAGATCCAGCCTTCCTGCAGCTGTGTTATCGCAGGTCTGGGAGTAAAGTACAGGTTGCCACACCTGTGGGAACAAACAAGCTGTGTGGGCAGGACAGGGGTGTGTTTAGTACTGTTTACTCAAGTGTTTGTCCTCAAGTCTATCTTTGTAACTAAGGGTTTTCATATGTATTTTTTGTACATCTACTATTGATAGATGTTTACTGCCAACTTTTCAGACCAGTTTTTACAAGTCCCGACTTGCACACGCGAGTTTGGTCAGGACTTGGCTACGAGCTGATACTATGTGGCAAACAGAAAACTGGCTGAGAGCTGATACTATATATGTGGCAAACAGTGACCGGTTGAGACTGGATTTAAGTCTGTACGGAGGTCACAAGAAAGCCTGGTCACGTCAGTCTGGGGTAATTTCAGGACAGGGTAAGTCAGGACAGTGACCCCACATGAAAGCTGGAACTAAGTAGCCTGGGTACCATCCTGGTTACTTTACGTCCGCTCCAACAGGCGTGGTTGGTGGTAGCGACTGTGGGAGCGGACGTAAACTAACCAGGATGGTTCCCAGGCTAGGAACTAAGAAAACTGTGTTGAAATGATTGAGATGTATGTTTGTGACTGCACACTGCCAACCCTGGAGGTATGTTTGAACTGGTAGGTTACACTGACATGGACTTTGCCCCTTATATATAATACCCAACCAAACAACAAGTCACTAACCAAAGATTAGCTTTCATCTCAAGTGTTGTTTTTAAAACTGAACCTGATTTTAGCAACCATTCACTTGTGTAATATATCAGCTACAAATGCATCAGATTTTTGAATCAACAGAATCTACACCAGGAGAAATTGTGGACTATTATTAAGCATCCACAGTAGGTTATGTTGACCTGGACTTCACTCCTGTACCCAACCAAACAACAAGTCACCAAACAGTGAAGCTTTCATCTGATAAGACTAGTTCTAAGTGTAACATTACGTCGGTGAAGACAAGATACACCAAGAAACAGATATGAATATGATTTTAATTGGAAACGGTCAGACATTTCAGGTAGCATCCACTAACTTTCATCAGTGACACTAAGAGAGCAGAGGAGAAATGCAGGTTTATGTTCTTAAAGCTGAACCTGATATTTAGCAACTTCGTGCAATTTAAATGATCTAGAAATGCATCAGATTAAACAGTAACGTTACAGAATCTACACCAAGAGAAATTGCGGACTAAGCACCACAGTAGGTTATGTTGACCCGGACTTTACCCCTGTCTACTTATACATTCCAACAACAATAATTTGTCACCAACACAATGGACCTTAAATCAGAGGGTTGTTTTTAAAACTGAGCCTGAATACTTATTTGGCTGCCTCGTGGATGGTTAGAAACTCATCAGATCTGAAAATTTACTTCATCATTAGTCGAAAAACAGACGAGAAACCCGGAACTAACATGGACTGTCGAATCTTGTTTGCTACTGCTGACTTAGACACATTAATGACTGTTATCGCCTGTGTTTGTTTGTTTGTGGTCTTGTGCCAACATTGGTGCGGTTTTTCCTGGGATAAGCACGTCTGAAGCTTTTACTTCCTGAATCTCAACCTGTTGTTGTACAGAGGCGATCTTAAACTACACAGAGGCTACGGCAAGGTTTGAGAAGGATAACTAAAGAACATAACGTGTGGGGTCGTGTGGCGTAGCAGTAGCGCGTTCGGCTCGGAACTAAGAGGTCCGGGGTTCGAATCCTGACATGCCACCGATCTTGTGCCCTTGGGAAAGGCACTTTACACGACTTTCCTCACTTCACTCAGGTGAAAATGAGTATGCCAGAATGATCATAATCATGATCGTGAAGAAAACCAAACCAAACCAAACACACATGTTCAAAGTACCAGTGAGGCTAAAACAAACAAAGCACGTCTAGCAGAAAATCATACGTAAACCAGGGACAACAACATCAGTATTACGTGCAAAACACCTCCCCTCATCAATTCTACATCAGCGGAAATTACACTTAATTGAGCACTAATTATCCAAAGGAATTTCTGTGCTGAGGATTTTTTTTACCGCCGCACTACTTTTAAGCGCTTGTCACACGTTAAGTAAGTGACGTACAGGTGATCAGATCAAAGTGCCGCCCTCTCCGTAACCTACACCTGCTCAGGTGATCTCAGGTGCGCTGTATAGTCTCACCTGGTGGAGTAAAAAGCCGCCGAAACACGGACACACGTCACAACACCCCGCACCGCCGCCATCTTGCTGACCTTTGACCGGCTGACCTCGCGGTGACCCCGACAGGACTGGAACAACAGGCGAGTCTTCTTGGAAATTCCCAAGGTCATGGATGAAATTCATCTTTGTGTGAATTGATAGACTTTTATTAGCCCCGAAGTAAAGCAGGTAACTTTGCCTGCTTTGTTAGGGCAAGAGAAAACCACTGAGCTAGTCAAAACCGCTAACTTTCGCGAAATTTAATATGTTGTTGGAACGTTATATCCTTCAGAGGGTTGGTGGAAAAAGCAGTCCGGTGCCGAGGCGGAAAAACCGTCCAGGCTGAATAAAAGGGTTTGCATGGAGTGTAGGCTTGGGTTTGACAGAAAGTCCAAATAACTGTTATTAAAGACACACTACTATGTTGAGATAACGGATATGACGTGAAGGTTATAACTGTTATGTCCTTTTACTATTCTGCCTTCCACACTGGACTGCATTTTCCACCAACCCATCCTTCAGTGGGCTTTGACAACTTTGTTGGGCAACTGCCAACTTCTCAGCCCTGTTGTTTAACAAGACTGCTTGCTCAGCTCAGCACTTGGTCACGCTCGACACTTGGCTTATAATGAGCTGATACGATATGGCAAACAGTAAACCGGTTGAGACTGGATAGAGGTTCCGAGAAAGCCTTTAAGGGTAATTTCAGGACAGTGACCCCTATACAGGTCAAAGTCCGGTAGGGCGTTCACTGTTGAACTTTCAGATCAACAAGTCCTCTGACATGAGACATTTTTTGAACTGAATCAAGTGCAAACCGGCACCAAGAGACCATGTCTGGCGAGATTTAGACAACAAGGTTTTGAGTCCTGATATGCCACTGATCTTATGCCCTTGGGAAAGGCACTTTACACGACTTTCCTCACTTTGCTCAGGTGAAAATGAGTATTGTATTGTCCCCTGTGTTGGGGCAGCATTTATATAAGTTTAAAAAAACTTGAGTGTGCCGTCACCACAACTTGTGATTGCATGTTTGAATCTATAGTTAAAAACAACAATAACATCAACTTGTTGGGCAACTGCCAACTTTTCAGACCTGTTGTTACACTGTGACCCCACTTACACACACGACTCTGGTCAGTACTTGGCTCTGAGCTGATGCTATGTGGCAAACAGAAAACTGGTTGAGACTGGATTTAAGTTGGTATAGAGGTCATGAGAAAGCCAGGCTTAACTTCAGGAAAGGGTTCAATTTCAGGGCAGTGACCTCTCAGCTCAGGTCAAAGTCCAGTAGGGCGTTCACTGTTGAACTTTACTTTCAGATCAACAGGGTTGATATTATAGGGTATGAAATAATGGCCAAACTGTTTCAATGCTTAAAACGGGTCCCTGAATGAATGAAAAAAAGTAATGAATGAATGAACAAATAAATGAACAGATGAGTAAATGAGTTCACTTCAATATATTCGATATGTTCAGGCTAATAAATTGTTCTTTGTTCTCATATATTATTACATCAATAGCATTAACGACAATGTATTAACTGTCAAAGGTAAACCGTTTTGTGTTGTCAATATAGGTTATGAGTCAACAAAACAACATCTACATTACAATAAGTTTAACCTGTATTACACTATCATTCTTACAAGGTCAATGTGATGGAGAGCGGGTTCTGTTGAACTTCACCTTGGAAAAAGACAGTCTCAGCCGTTAGTTTTCATGAGGTCAAGATCAAATCTTTATTTGAGTCTGATATCACGTAACTGTGCCGTATCGTGTTTCAGACCAAAGTGTTGGACCAATATACTCATGTATTCTGACAATACTGTCCGTATTGTCTATTGAGGAGAACTAGTGTGTTGAACAGTGACTGGCTAGCTGGTCTACCTCAGAGGTTGTTTTTTAGACATTATATAAGCCATTACTAATTGGTCAGATCTAATATGGAAGCATCTTAGTTTCAAATTCTGAAACTGACACTTTGTTTATTTGTTTATTTGAGTTTACTATGTGTACAAGTATACAAGTGGAAGGGAGGACAAAACAGGTGCATTGACACCTTTACAAGTTGTCCTCCCAACACTACATGTACACTGTAAATACAGATTATTATGGGTTCACCACACCACGAAGTGGTGGTGAACCCATATTGCTTTTTCTGATGTTTCTTCTCCTCCTCCTTCTCCTCCTCCTCCTCCTGCCATATCTTTAAATGGATTCAGCTTCTTCATTTTAGGGCCTAAGGTCCTGAAATTCGGTATGGAGGTACAGTGGGCAAATACCCCTAGGCGTTTTTTAAATTTTTGTGATACAGGCTTTTAGAATGGTTTTATTTGAGTTTTTTTGGCTGTGTTATAGCAAATGTATTACTGAGTTAGTGTGCAGTGTTACCACGTCTGGGCTTGAGTCATCACAATGGAATGCAGGGCATCAACCAATAGGCATGCAGCTTTCCTCTATTCTCCTTGCTGATTGGCTGTTGGAATTTAACAGGCTTAACTTAATTAATACCTGCACAGATCCATTCCATACTGACAGTAGGTCTGTATTCAAGTGTTTTGGTAGGTATTTCAAGCTTTCCTGCTCTAGCATTGGAATGCGGGGCATGAACGCTTCTTTTTTTCTTGAAAATCAACAGTTTGCATTATGCAATTAAAAATCCTAACCAATAATGTAGGGAATAGCTATCAAACTGTAGTCTTAGTTGTATGTTACTTCATACTATAGTTATATCAATGTAAAACATTGTTTTTCCTTGTGTTTCTCATTCTTTCCCTGCCATGTCGTAAAATGTGGTGAAGCCATTGCTGTATTTGCTCCAAAGCAAATGTCGGCCTTTCTAGTTTCTTTATTACTTTCTCTCTCTGGTTAGTTGATTTTTAAGGTTGGAAGTCAACAGGACGAACCATCATTTTGGATGTCCTCAGATAGCCGGCATACGGCGCGCCAAAGGTGTGCCAATAGATACCCAAGCCGCTGTGATCGGTATGGTCCGAGGGACGGAAGTACGGACCGTTAAGGGAGGACCATGAGCAAGCCTTGTACCACCATCCACCCGCCCCTCCCACCCTGCGGCCGCCAGCGCATGAACCACCGCTGTATTCATCATTGTCCACATCTCTAGCGCTGAAGCCCTGGCCGTTTAAGTGGGTACCCGGTACGTCAGAATTTGGGTCAGACTCGGGCAAGACAAAAGCATCTCCAGCTGTTCCGCTGTACCCCCCCACGTTCAGCCGGAACTTGGAATCATCCTGTAGCGAGAAGGTCGCATACCTGGCGTACTTTACTACTTCTGACCAATCTTCCAGCTCTATATACAGCTCGTACGCATTTTGGTTAGTCAAGCGGTATATGTTATCCAAGCCCAGCCAGTACTCCCCCTCGGCTGACCCAAACCCGTACCTATAGTCGTCATAGGGTCGGTTGAAATGCAGGGACCCGTCAAACCTCCTCTGTATGACCGTCCACCCTCCCCCATCTGTGGTCTGATCACAGTATACGGATATGGGGCTGGCTAAACCTGTTGGCTTTATGGTATAAATGCCGCTAGATACAACATGGAACATAGCCATAGCTGTGTGGATCTCAGAACAGTCGGAAAAGTAATTAGTGCGCCTGCTGAGAGCCAGGGAAGCCAGGTTCGGCTTGGGCAGCAGTTCGTTCACTTGGTCCTCTTCAAATTCTGCATCATCCTGTTCCTCTGTATCCACACGCAGCAATGGATCTGTGAGATAGAGCAACAACAGGGCACCGTATATTAGAGGAGATTCATTCCTCAAGCTAAGCCACACAGTCAAAACCAGTTGTGTGACTGGCTGAATAAAAGTTGTAAACGGGAACTATGCGGCTCCAGATGTCTTACTGAGGGACGACTGCGTGTGCGAGATGTCGGTTAGCTTGAGGAATGAATCCCCTCTACTATATAGAGCAACAAGGCACCAGTAAGACAATTATAGTGTACAAACAAACGTAAGGCACGTAACAATTACTGAGGCAAAGGGAAAGGCGAGAGCCCCAAGAATGGTTATATCAACTGAAATAAACCACAAAATATTATGTTCCTTAACTTTAATTCTTAGCTCTTTTCATTGATATGACTTTTAGTTTCATTCTGCTCCAAAGACCTGGGCAAAATGATGACACGTACCACAGACCCCGGTACCGAGCGCCTTGAGCTGAACTCCCACAATCCTGCACAGGTCCTTCAGCGGGGAGGGTTCATTCGGGCTGCCCATGGGGGTGGTCAGGGCTGGAAAGGGAGGGAACTTATTAGACGTCCTGTTGGACAACCAGCTTCTTTGAAACTTACACCTTCTTGCAGACACTAAGTCTGAATTAGTAGGCATTTACTAGTGTCTGCTTCACTAGTTACAGTTTAGATTAAAAGAAGAAAATTTCGGTATTCTCAGCACCCCAATCCTTTGTTGATTACTCTGGTATTTGAAGGCATGGCTATTTCCTGCACTTTTCCGAGGTGGTATTTAATAGGTACTTAGTAGTTGGTATACGTCCACCCGTTTATTAGTCATTTCATACATTATGCATGGCCTAGGCACTCTTCTTCCATATCGTTTTTGTTGTTTCTTTTAAGTTCTTTTTTTCTCTACTGGTCTTAGCAAACCAAAATGTAGAGAGAATAAGAAAGCCTGTGACATATGCTGACACCCTAGCTACCCTTTTGGGTTCTGAGTATCTAATACTAACCGATTTCCTTGCATCCCTTCTGCATGACACACATCTCCAGGACACTCCGAGGCTGGTCCCGAAAGTTTCCATCTGGCGCGGCTCCACAGACGGTGCTGCTGGCTGCAACGATGAGGAGAATCTCGAACAACATCATGGTGGCAGGAAGGCTGGTCGCCTGTCTGGTTAGTATTATATTCTGCAATGGGATTGGCTTTAACATGAGGGACACCTGTCGGCGTTCACACGCTATATCTTAAATTAGAAAGGTCACAAATGCATAATGTTTACCTTTATATGGTCTATCCCAACAAACTACTGGTCTGTTTGTTCTTTAATCAAACACATTCATGTAAATGGTTGTAGTAGCAGCAGCTGTGTGGTAGAAGGATT